AATATTTCCAATCTGGCATTTGTCTATTTTAAACATACAAAACTACCTAAAATACCCCAACATAAAAATTTCAACCAAGTCATTATAATATAAAAAGATTTCAAAGAAACCCTTAAAAAATTCCACTATAATTTTTATGAACCTAAAACCTTTAATTTATTATTTATTTGAACACCTTTAATTTTTAAGATTTAGTTGGTTTTTGTTCGCTCATAGCAACCCCTCTTCCCCCCTCCCTTCCCTTCCCTTCCCTTATTGGTACCAGAGTCATAGATATCATGGAAATTATAATTAAATAATTATTATAAATTAGAAGAGGAAAGAGGATGTAATATATTTTTAGAACATAATCTTAATAGATTAAAAATAATAACGTTCATAATAATTTAAAAATTACCTATAGAAATAAAAGAGCAAATATTAGAGAGACTCATAATAGAATCAATAAAAGAAAAATATATATCTGAAATAATCATTAAAGAATTTGAAGATGAAGAAAATATTTTATATTATAATGAAAAGTATGAATTATCATAGAAGTTGGTCCCTTATAAATAAATACTTACTAGAAGATATTAAAATAAATTTAGATAAAAAAAAATTAAGAGCCAAGGAAGCTTTAGTAATAATACATATAACAGATATATGGTTACAACCAAAACAATCAATAAGAGAGAAAAAACTTATACAAGAATTAAAAGGAAAATGACTAATAGTAATAAGAAAATATTATGAAAAAATAATAAAATATCTAGAAAATACAACCGTTAAAGACTTAGATAATTACATAGAAAAAGAAGAAAATAATTTTAAGTTAAAATTAAAAAGAAAACAAACAATAAATTTAATAAAATATTTAAAGAAACAACAAGAGGAAAATGAAGATAAAATGTGTAAAACATATTACTATATAAAAGCTTTAAAAGAAATTAAGAAATGATAATGGATTTACCAGAAATAAAATTTGAAAAATAAGTAATAGAAAATTTTAGACTCCCGTAGGATCTTATCAAATAAAATGAGCTAATACAACTATGTTTCAACCATTAAGCTCATGGGAAGAATCAGATCGATTTATTAATATACAATTAAATTGGATATGTGCTTTTTTATAGCTGATGAGTGTGTTTTTACACACTTATTAGGCACTTTTTGGGAATTTATAACTGACGAAATTAAGTAAATTCATATACATAATTGTGTAATTACTGTTTTTGTAGGCCAAACCCCAACAAGAAGGAGAACATATATTTTTTCATGAATAACTTAAAAGGCATAATTGACCGGACCAAATACATAAATCTCCCTTTTGAAACTTGAGAAGTGCTACAAGTACATGGGGGGTGCCATAATGATATCCATAATGGACACATGGCACCCCTAATGTACAAAAAGAATTATTCTTGAAACTTACTTTTTTAAAAAGAGTAAAAATCCTAGCCAGAGTCTTATACTTTTAATAAGCGTGACATTTGGGTCCTCAACCTATCAAATGTGGCACATGTGTTCTAACCTTTTAACAATTTAAATGTATACCTTGAATCTTGAGGGACAGAAAGAATAATTATAATGAATTGTTTTTACATTTTGTTAGTGTCGCCATATTTGCCATGAATGTTAATAAATTTTGCACTTTTTAACACTTATATCTTTCATTTTTTCGTCATTGTATTTTGATTATCAACTTTTATTTTATTAAAGCATCTTTAAAAAACTATTTAAATATAACATTTTTATATTTTAAAGGCGAGTTAGATTTGTTGTCTTAAACTTCTCGTTTCGCGATACAGTTATATAGACAAGTTACTTTTTCTCGGAGAATGAGAAAATGTCAAAATACTTTTTCAAAAGTTATACTCTGGCGGTTTAGTAAAAAGATCATTTTAAGCGGTTTAGTTCTAAACGGCTAAACCGGTCTTCCCTCTTTCCCTCACAACCCAAACCCAAACCCAAACCCTAGCGAACACTGCAGCAGTCTATACTCGTTCAGCAACAATGCTTACAGGTGACATACCGCCGAATCAGACTATATACATAAAGAACCTTAATGAGAAAGTCAAGAAAGAAGGTTATTCTTTAAACCTTTTGCTCTTTTAGTATATTATGTCACTCCAGGCTTTCGCAGTTCGTGTTATACATTTTATAATTATCTACATGTTTCATTCGGTTATGCTTTAATTATATATATTTATTGGTGTGTATTTCCTGTAATGGGTTTTTATTGCCTTCATTGCAGTTGCATTATGGGCATTGTACCTTTATCCTTTAGCTACGACTGTGTCGTTGAAATTTTGTGTTTATAGATTTCGACTTTGAGAGTCTTGTACCAATCCTTGGGGCAAAGTATTATATTATGTGTTCCTGGCTATTATAATTTTAAATTTGCAACGTAGAGTTTTGCTGTTACTTTTGATTAAAAATAATATTATCTCCTTCTTGCATTTTCTCATAAGATGAATGGACTTTCATGTTTGCTGGCACTTGTGTTTTGGATGTGGAATTGGGCACTTGGAAGTGCATCGGAAGACGCACAATTAAAATTTGGATTATTATTTTCTGAAAATCCTTGCTATCAGACATGACATCAGTAAATCACAATTCACGAGCACCTGCACAGTCGTGGGGTAGCTTGAACTAGTAGAAAATTCAATCTAGCTGTGAAAGTACTATTTTTAAATTAATTTCTGATCCTCATGATCACTCGTATAACTGATGGATTATATTATCCTGACATGTTACAATCATTTTACCATGAAAGCAACTAGCAAGCTTGTTCGAGGCCTTTCCGGAATATGACATAATGTTCATGGAAAAGAAATTGTTACTTTTACACATAGCATAGTATCAGCCTCTTTAGATCATCTCTTACCAATTTGATTTTGTATTATATTACCTTAATGCCAGGTTTTTTTTTTTTAAAGTACAATTTCTGATTGTTTTTTAGATATGTTGGTATAAGCTCTATTACGTATGCATGAATGAAATGGATACATGTCTGTTGTAAATTAACTTTCTTAGGAGACAGATTCACGTGCTTTATTTAAAGCATTTTATCAAGATTTTTATTGCCTTTTTTCTTTCATCTTATTACATTTTAATCACATTAGTGCTTGGTGGGGTTGGCATTCCCTTTCTCACTTGGGGCACCGGTAGCCTTCACATCTGTTATTAACACTAACTTTCCAGTCATGTTAATCAATCGCTTAAGCATGTCTTGTGTGTAATCCCGTCTTGAAAGTTGATGGAAAAAAGGAATGTTTATTTTGCAAATCAATCTTGATAAAGACTTCGATATCTATTCTATTTGTTCCCCTGCACATCAAGTCGATTGATGTATGCTCCGTACATATAAGTGTAATGATTTTGAGGTTGATTTTCTTGCTTGTCTTTAATATGCTGGACAGAGTTGAAGAGATCTCTTTATGCCTTGTTCTCACAGTATGGGAGAATTGTGGACATTGTTGCACTGAAAACTGCCAAGCTTCGAGGACAGGCATGGGTTGTATTCAGTGAAGTGACGGCTGCAAGCAATGCAGTGCGACAAATGCAAAACTTCCCATTTTATGATAAACCAATGGTGGGTACATTGAATTGCACCATACTTATGGATGAACTGGATACATGTATAGTATAGATTAACCTTTTTAGGACTTGCAGTCTAAGTATGTTCATTCTTCTTCTTCCCTTCCCCCTTTTTGGTTCTCAATTTTAAGTTCGAAAGTATATGTTAATTTTGCTGTTCATTGTTTGTTGGTACAATCTATTAAAATAAAGGTGTTGATCATTGTTGATTAAATCAAATTTCATATTTGATCATTCCATTCTTGTCTCCCCCTAACCAGCAAAAAAATATCAAATGGAAAAGGAAAAGAGAATTCAACCTGTCGGCTGAATTCTTTTCCTCTGTAGAGAAACCATTTATTCATGTTGAATTCAGTATCTATGTGAAATTAATCTTAGTTCTGTAGTTGGCATGGATAAAAATTCTATTGTCATTTTGTTGCCTTATCAGTTTCCTCTGTTCCATTTAGTAATTAGTATTGTCACCATTCCTTATGCTTCTCTAGACAAATTCTGATCACACTCCTGTACATGAAAGATTGAAAGTGGATAAAAGTGGCTTCTTTGGATTGCTAGCTGGAATCTTTACAATTTGGTTTTGGAGGCATGTTTTTAATTATAATTTCATAACTGTTTCTCCATGTTGTGCGTGATTCTGATTTCTCATTGTTGAGATATATTTGCTGTGGATCTATATTTCTAGAGCTAAAATTTGTAGACTTTCTAATTTTATTTTTTTGTGATGGAAGCGAATACAATATTCCAAATCAAAATCAGATTGCATTGCTAAAGCAGAGGGTACCTACGACAAGAAAAAGAAGCAAGAGGAAAAAGGTGAAATTATGTTGTCCAGCTTACTCATTCTATTCCTCTCTCCCTTTTAGTCATTGTTTTCAAAAAGTTGTGCACATTTTATATGTACAATGGATAAGTTTCCCTCTGATAGTCTGATAAGATCTTGGAGCTTTGACATTCCTTTAACAAAGTATATGGTAGAACTTCCAAACTGACCAATGTATATTTTGCTGAATTACTGAATGAAAATGGAATGAAAATACAAGTTTGACAGGTTTTCGAGAGACCTGCCTCTCTTCCAATTATTCTTTGTAAACATCAGAATGAATATGCTATACTACCTCCCCATCATTGAGTTGGCCTCGCGAATCCAATCCGAAATCATCCTCTTGGTCTCGCCCTTCCCACTGCAGCATCATCTGCTCAAACCCATTCCATATCAACCCCCAGCTTTCCTCCATTGTTGTTGTCATTTGCCCAGGTACATGTATCCCTTTCTGCCCTCTTGATCTGCCCAATTTGCCCCTGGGGTCCTACCAGTATACACATTCTTCTACATACTGTAATGACTCATTTTCCCCTGTAAGACTTTGTAGTTTAATGCCTGCTGATAACTTTTGAAGTACTTGAAATTTTTGATCCGCAGTTAGATATGATAGACATTTTTGGTCAATTCTTTTAATGTAACACATTAATTGTGATTCTAATGGCTTACTCAAGCATGGTGGTCCCCAAAGAAAAAGAAATTCAAGTGGCATTTGATGTATATGAGGTTGTTCGAGACTGTCTTGAGTTTTGAAAGTAGATGCATTTTATTCACTTTGAAAGTATTTCTAGACACTTGGTCAAAAGGGTGAATTTATTCTCCATTTCTTTCTGTCACAACACTTCTCTATGTTTCTTTGCATGGAATTCCTCATGCCTTGTGTACAGTAGTTTTACATGGGTGGCTACTGTGGTTACACTTTCTAACATAAAACCATCACAATGACACTGTATTTCCTTGAAACCGTGACTTTGATTATGGGTCTCAATGGTGGACATCCAAGTTGTTAGATTTTAGGACGATGAAAAATTTCTTGACTTTGGACACGGGTAAGGAGACGTGTTTCATAACGAGCATGGTTTAAAAAGCTATAGTGAGGCGCGCCTTGAGGCTCGCTTCACTGTGAGGCGCATGTAGTATGCCTCGAGGCGGTGTTTTTGAGGCTAAAAATATGAGGCTCACGCCTCTAAATTTGAGGCGCAAGCCTCAAGGCGTGCCTCATTACTGCCTTTTGTAGAAATTGAGAGTTGCGAAGAGGAAGATGATGGGGAAATTAGATATGATGATGATTCCATTAACGATACTAGTAATAGTGATGATAGTGTAGACTATTAGGTTTTTTTTTTAATTT